GTGATGTAGATTGTACGCAGTTTTCCGCAATTAGCTTACCATTGAGAGTAATTGAAGATGTCGATTTTGCGAGAGTTTGATCAATGCGTATATCACAGTATCAAGCCTGTTACTTTGCTTTCCACCAAGCGTCACGTGTTTAAAAAGATTGTGAAAAGACTCGGCATGATTTGAGCTTGTAAAAGGCGCTCTCTTGCGGTAGCACAGTGCCCATTCATCTCTTCTTCCGGAAAAATTCCTTTCAACGTACTAGAAAGTGTGATGTACTCAAAAGAGGCCAAAGCAATCAAAGCATCTCACAGCAAGCATATCTGAAGCTCCAATGTTAACGAGCCATGTCATGTACGCTGCAAAGCCGTTTTCAAAATTGACCTTGTCGGTGTCAAATAAGATTGCACGTATCAGCTTTTCAGCAGTCGGTAGAAATTCCGCCTAAAAAATTGCCGTCTCCACTCTAACTGACCAAATCAATACAAAACTTAACCTTCAGCAATTCCTTGTGCTTTCTTTTGAAGATTTGTAAAACATGAAAGCAGCAAAGGACTTTCTTTGCTCGACTGTATGGGAAAACAGTTTTGAATGCATTGAAAAAAGTTAGCGTATCATCTGGCATGAAATACTGCGGATCGAAACTGGGCACCAATTGCTACAAAAGTGATAAAAATAGAAATGAAAGATAGATTAGGCGAATAGCTACCTTTACTAGTTGAAACAGGTTCTCCATTTCAGCAGAGGTCATGCGATATGACAGAACATGGGCGCAAGGAAACCCATTACCACTATCGTCGGTAACCAATAGTGTTGCTAGCCGAAAGGAGTACTTTGTTACATTGAATGTGTCGTCACAGACGACTCCACGATTGCCATAATGTTCGAGATAACTCCTCCCTTTGACGGTTATGAATGCTGCAAAAGCAAAGCACTGATGAGACAACGCAGACATGAGCCAAGGTCACCTAGCATAAATCCGTCGCCCGTTATCTGTTCTGTATCGATTAACTTATAAGCAGCAATCTCGTCGTGGCCCAGCAGAGTTTTGAAAGATACTCGATCATCATCGGAGCTCCGACCCTCTACGAGTCCGCGACGGGAAGCGATGTTGCTGAAGGTTGAGAATTCT